AAATCTTTTGCAATATTGAGGAGATCTGCTTTTCAACTTTGCACAGTTCTGGGCCTTCCCTCCTGCCAAGGAGTGATATTGGCAAGTGCTCACTGAGAGAGGTCACAATACAAAGATATCAGTGCTCTATTACTCACTCTTTGAAATATGTGCTTTGGAATTAATTTGGTAATAACTCCATCAGTGATTGAATGAGGTTTCCTTATCATTTGAATTTAACCTCACACAAGTCTGCACTGTTTTAAACGTGTTAATTTGCCAACATACCAATCTAGTCAATTCATCTTCACCTAGAACTAAAAAGTGCACACTTACTTATGAAATAATGATAATCAAGAGGATTTATAACATTAAATAGTGTGTTCTACCTCATGTATGCTTTTAAGTTTAATAGAGAGCATTAAATGATAATTACTGGTACAATGTAGGACAGAGAAAGCATGAACAATGCAATTTTGTTCTTCTGAAGGCTTCATTAAATCTATCCATAACCAGTGAATAGGATGTAATCAGTTAAAAAATTAGGCTTATTAGACATAATATATTTTCATTTGTGATATTAATATTTAATTGCTTGGAAACCAGCTGAGTTATACTCCGCTGTGAACTAACAAAACTGTGGACATCAAGCTTTCGTGTGCACAAGAACCACCCGGGCATATTGAATGTTTTGATTGAATGGATTTAGGGATAAGCCCCAGAACTTGTCATTGTAAACACATATTCCAGTTGATCCTCATTCAGAGGCACACTTTGAGTGTTGTTTTTCTTTTGAAGAGAGAATTGCTTGCCCTTTCTGGCAGGGGAGGGGGGATACGGGCTTTGTTACTACCGCCCTCTTGGTCATGTGTGCCCAAAGTTTGGGTCATCTTCAAGTCTCCTTTAATTTTGTTATTCAGTCTTTGCTTCCACTTTTTATAGATTCGGGTCTTTTTCTTGTCACTTTTAGTTTTTTTAAATAATTAAATCATTTTATTGAGGCTTGTACAACTCTTATCACAATACATCCATCCATCCATTGTGTCAGGCATTTTTGTGCATTTGTTTCCCTCATCACTCTCCAAACATTTGCTTTCTACTCGAGCCCTTGGTATCAGTTCCTTATTTTTCCCCT